TGTCGGATAAGCCAAGGCTTATCAGGGTCATACAAGACAAATATCAAAGAGTTCAACCAATGAAGAATAGTCTGCATGACTCGTTATGGATGAACTACAAAAGAATGAAAAAGAGAACCTAGTGAGAGATTCCATGGCCTATAATCTTCACTTACAAAGAATGCATTGCTAACACCTCCACAAAACATCATAGAGTGGCTAAAAATGCATGGCATCTAGCCATGAGAATGAGCAAGCATTCCAGAACTCTAACCAACTTGAGCACACAAATGCCAGTAGACTTATTAAATGGTGTTTCCCAATTGCAGGTTGTATGAAGCTTAACATGGATGGTTGCTTGAAGGGGAACCCTGGAGCAATAGGGATTTGAGGACTCATTAGAGATGATCAAGGCCATTGGAAACTGGGATTCATTGAGAAGTTAAATGCAACTATGAGTTTGCAACCAGAATTATGGGCCATTTGCAAAGGTCTGGAGCTCTTTCAATATGTGCACCACCAATGGTCATAATGAACGACCACTTAGGACACTGATTACAAATTGCAAGCACCTCATGGGTGAACACCAAATACCATTCACCAAGGATCAAAATTTTGTTTTGGTGTGTTATTTCGTTCACCTAGGAAACGGAAACGTTTCGACGTGTTTCGAAAACGTTTTAATCCGTTTCGGAAATATAATGAAAAAAATAAAAAATTTTAGAATTATTTTTCTAAAATATTGATTGAAATATATTAAAATATTTTGAAACATTTTGAAATAATTGTACAAATGCATTGAAATATTATAATATCTCGAAACATTATGGAATACCTCAAAATATTTGAATTTTGATTCTTTCAGTATTTTGTTTCGGTCTCCTTAAAAACGGAAACGTTTCGGATGTTTCGAAACGATATTTTGATCCTTGCCATTCACACATACTTTGTGAGTGGGCAACCAATGCCCTAAATATCCTTGCAAACATGGACGAACAACAGCAAGATAGCTTCATGGAGGTTATAGTCCCACCCCACAAAGTTTTGCAAGCTCTGAGGGCTGATTCAAGTTGTGTTGCTTTTATTAGGGGGTTAACATAACCCTTTTTTCTTTTTCCATTGTACCACGAAAAAAAAATAACACCTTTTACATCTCTATTACAAGTCTTCACAAAGGACAGAGGGAAGGAAAAAAGGAGGGATTTTATCACCGGAAGAAAAAAGGCAACCTTTGTAGTTCTCAAACATTAAATAGAAAAAAACACACTTGCACCTCTATTACAAGCGTTCACAAGATGGAGAGAGGGAGGGAGAATGAGAGATTCCAGTGCTGCTCAATGGGACAAGCATTACATCTTTATGATAGAAAAATCGAGGAATGTAACCTCACGTACACATCCTGCCAAAGTAATGGGCACATTCTGTTACCCAACAAAGTCTCTAGAATCTAAGATATTGAAAACATGGGATGTCCACAAAAGTTAATCATACCTAATATAAAATGCGCTCAAATCCTTCCTACAAAAGGAGAACAACATTTGTAGGTCTCTTGGGTAGTAGAAAAATGAGAAGTAGATTCAAGATTGAGGAAGACATACTAGAGTAAGATACATAACAACAAGGACTAGAATTAAGAGATAAACATAAATTACAATTATTCACTCATTACAAAATATACACAGAAAAAGAAAATTAGTGAAACATATATATATATAGAGAGAGAAAGAATAAAATTGTGAGTTGTTAACTAGACAGAATACAAAACATAGAACTCCACACTTTATGCATATCAAGACAATATGCACAAATTACAAGGACGATTTATAAATATACCCTATATAACTTACAAAAATGATTTAGATTATTTTATTTATGATCTAATAGTTAGAGATCTTTTTCCAATTTTTATTTTACCAATCATATCTCTCCACTCACGCTAACGTATTCTCCGCCTCATCTATTCCGCATCTCTATACTAACTCATTCTCATATCTCTACTCCTCTCCATTTCTCTCTTATGCTTCCATCTCCGTCATCCACCAATGACACCACAATGCCATCCACCACCGTCATCGACATGACCATCCAGTGCCACCAACAATGTTGCTTAGTCTCTTTCTTCTATTCTTATTTCGCTCACCACCACCAACGTGCAATTAGGATAACCAACGTCTATCATTATCATCAATTTCATAACTCCATCCACCACTAACATTTATCACCAGCCAGTAATCTCACTCCAACCATTTATCCTCACCTGAACCCAACTCGACCCCTAACCACAGTCACCTCTATAATTCTCCCTCACTACTGCCCCAGTCCACCCCACCGCAAAAAAACCACGGTGCCCACTACCTACACCTTTTCCTCATGACAATCTTTTTGTTTATGATCTAGGCATATATATGACATTTTATCACATGTTAATTTTAGTAATCCTTATTCCAACAATCTTAAATCTCAAACTTCATATTTATTGTAATAGTTGAATTTTGTTACCAAATATTATGGATTTTATTTGGAATTAATGTGGATTATCAAAATGAAATTATGCATTGGATTTTTGTGAATGATTGAAGTTGAATTTGAATTGTTGCGTATTTTAGTTGGGATTGAAATTGTGCATGACTGAAATTGAGTTTTTTCTTATGTGTGAATTTTTTCTTAGATAAGAATATTAGAATAGTAGATTATTGAATTTGACTTTCATTGAGAATTTCGTTGAGAATTATTGGAGTTATGGATTATTGAAATTAAATTTTGTTGTAAATTATTCTAAATTTTAATGTGATTTATGACAAATTCTGAATTTGTAGACTATTGAATTAAATTTTGTTGAGAATTATTGAGGATATTGAAATTCAAATTAGGATTTGGGATTATTAGAATTTGAACAACTGAAATAAACATTGAATTTGAGATTTAAGATTGTTGGAATAAAGATTACTGAATTTAGCATGGGATAAAGTGTTATATAAACAAACATGTCAAGATAATAAATTAAAAAAGTTGCAGATAGTGGAAGCATTGGTTTTTCTGTGGTGGTGTGGGCATAGGGCAATGGTGAGGGAGAACCGTAGTGGTGACTGTGATTAGGGGTTGAGTTGGGTTCGAGTGAGGATAAGTTGCTAAAGTGGGGTTGTTCGTTGATGGTAAATGTTAGTGGAGGATAGAGTTATGAAATTGGCGATAATGACAGATGTTGGTGGTCCTAATTGCACACTAGTGGGTGGTGGTGATGAGAGAAACAAGAATAGAAGTGAGAGACTAAGCAACACTATTGGTGGTGTTGGATGGTCACGTCGTTAGCGGTGATGGATGGCATTACAGTGTCATTATGGCATTGGTGGATGGCGGAGACGAAAGCATAAGAAAGAAATGGAGAGGAGTAGAGATATGAGGATGAGTGAATATAGAGATACGGAAGAGAAAGACAGATGGATGAGACAGGGAATACGCTTGCGTGAGTGAAGAGAACGAGAGATATAAGCGGTGGTAAAATGAAAACTGAAAAAAGATCTCTAACTATTATTAGATCATAAGCTAAACGATATAAATTGTTCTTGTAATTTATAGCGCGTATATTTTCAAAAACTTATCACTTATAACATGTATACACATATATATACATATATATGCATATATACATAATAAAGGTATGAGAATCTAAGATAATTACTAGGTCACTAATATACTTTTATGAGAAAGAGAAAGACATTCGTGCTCTACAACTCATTCTTGAAGCCCGTCTCCTATGACACCTTACCCTACGCTATTTTTGTTGAATTAATGTGAAGAGGAAAAGGAAGAAATAGAGAAGAAAGACGGTTGAAAAAGAGAAGAAGAGAATTAAGGTTCTCTCCCTCAGCCACTTATATTTATAGTTCAAATATCAGAAGGACAAAAATACCCTTCATAACAATAAAGATAAAGATAAAAAATAAGAGACTAACTAGCTTCAAAGTTCTAACACTCTAATGCAGCCCTAGCGTTAGTTTAGAATGGATGTAGGAGAACTATTTGGAGTTAAAATGACTACCAAATAACTAGCAAAGTCATACACAAACACTAGATGTAAACAACAGCTGTAAAAAATAACTACCAGTAAGGAAATGGGAGTTCAGATTCTAAGGGTTTTCAGTTTAGTTCTAGCTGGGAATAAAACTTCGGAAGGATTAAACAAATTTCCAGACATCAATAACAAGAACTACTGAAAATGAAAGAATTAGGCTATGGCAATGATGGTCAGCCACAAGGAGGGGGAAAATAAGGAATAATCTCACCCGGTCAGCTAGATGAGAGTTCAAGCACAAGAACTATGCAACCAGCTGTGCAGTGAAGTCTTCAACCACCTTTGTAGCCAGTAGCAGTAGTGGGGGGGGGGGGGGGAGAAGAAACAACAACAATAGAAGAACACAAGGAGGAAAAAAAGAAGAAGAAGATAAGCAGCAACGACATAAAGAAGCAAAGACAGTTTTTTTTTTTTTTTTTTGGGGGGGGGGGGGGGGGGCGGGGGGAGGAGGAGAAGAGAGACAGCAAACCACGTTGGTTTTTTTTTTCACAATAATCTGCCTCCTATTGTAGACAATGTAAGTATTTATAAGGGAGAAACCCTAGATTTCAACCCTTCATTTCACCACTAGCTTAGGTGTCACCATCGTATATAATCTAGCTTCCACATCATTTAAATAATCATGTGCTAGTCACACCAAACTTCATCCTTATAAATATTCCCAATGGAGAATTTCACTAGACAACGATGTGTGATAGGGACTTCACTGCCTTCCTTAAACCATACCACTTTGTATGGTTTCCCTATCTTCTTAATTGGCAAGCCTAGCTTGTCAACCATCTCTTGGGAAACAAAGTTTTTGGGGCTCCCACTATCAATAATAACAGAGCACAGCTTACACTCAACGGTGCAAGTAGTCTGAAAGAGACTTTGTCTCAACCATCTATCCATTATTGGGGCTTTAAGAGCAATCATGACACGGTGAATCATGAGAAATTGACCATCTATATCACCCTCTACTTCTTGAATGATTCATATCAGGTTCTTCCTCACCAAATGATTCATCAAAGTTAGGCTCATCCTCAAGATGGGGTTCACCTGACTCTTGCTCTATTAAGTAAGACAGAGGAACAAATTTCCTTCTTGGACAAGCTGACGATATATGCCCTAGTTGACCACACTTATAACAATTATATGAGGATGGTTTTGCACCTAGGATGCCTTTACCCTTGGGTGCTTGAGGCTGAGTGGGCTGGTTTGGCCTAGAGAAAGGTACATTTGGGGCTTCAGTGGGTACAATCCCAGCTTGAGTCCTCCCAAAACTCATTGTACCCTGACCTAGATCCATCCTACGAGTTGACGACCATTTAAGTTGCCTCTCTATCTTAAGTGCACGACGTTATGCATCATCTACACTGACCAAGTCATGTAGCACAACTTGATCTTGAATAGGAAGACGTAGTCCTGCCACATGACAAGCTACACTTCGCTCTTTATCCTCTCCCAAGTCATTTTGAGCTTGAAGCCTGTAGAATCCTCGGTGTATTCATCCACGGTTTTGTTATTTTGACGCAAGTTGCGGAATCTTTTAAACAGTGTTTGACGGTAGTCAGATGGAACATGCAATTCCATGATCTAATCTTCCTTGCGCACTCAACTATCTTGAAGTTGCCTCCACCACACAAGGGCATGTCCCTTAAGTTTTAGACTAATGAACTTAACTTTTTTTTATCATCGGATATCTCTTTCCACTTAAAGAAGTGATCTACCTTATCAATCCAATCTAAGAACTCCTCAGGTCGTAGATGACCATCAAACTCACCAACATCAATCTTGATTCCATCATCCCAATTCATGTCACCTTTAAGAGGCCTACCATCTATTCGACGACCTCTATTCCCTAGATTGTGAACAACTTCTTTGCCATCAGTCGCATCATCACTTTTTTCGACTACCGGGGTTCCCTATCAACTCTAATTTGGTTTGGCGGAAGGGCATTTACTTGCAAAGCAGCAACCAAGTGGTGGAGCTGCTCATGTTGGGCTTGTATTCGGTTAATTGACTCTTGTTGGCGTTGGAAAGCGTCTTGCCAAGTCTCAGGAGGATTTTGGTTATTTTCCATGGTAGTTTAACTTGCTAAAAACCAAAATACTCCCCCCTAAAAGGACTCTAGAACCTGGTAATTTAAATGACAGCAAGCTATGACCTAAAACGTCCTGGATTGCTACTAAACTAGTCATAAGGAACCAGAAAACAGCAGTTTAGGAAGGTGAATGATGCAAAATGCAACTACAGGTGATGTGAACCAGCCTAAAACTGTCACTTCTAGATGCAGAACAGTGAACAAAATCTGCCAATGGAAGTGCAAGAGATGTAACAATTGACTGAACCTAGGACAGCTAATATGCTCTAAACTAGTAGTTGTACTCTTTCACAAATTTTATCAAACAGTGAGAATACACAGAAATTGCTAGAAATTTCGTAATACAATTACTACAACCAAATCTCTGATACCACTTAATGCAGCCCCTAGGTTAGAATGGATGTAGGAGAACAATTTGGAGTTAAAATGACTACCAAACAACTACTAGCAAATTCATACACAAACACTAGATGTAAACAAAAGTTGTCAAAAGTAGACAACATTGTGTGTAATAGTAAGCAAATGGGGGCAGCAGTAGTTTTTTTTTTTTTTGGGGGGGGGGGGAGGGGAAGAAGAGAGGCAGCAACCCATGTTATTTTTTTTCTTTCAAAATCATCTGCCTACTATTGTAGAGAATGGAAGTATTTATAAGGAAGAAACCCTAGATCTCAACCCTTCATTTCCCCACTAGTTTAGGTGACACCATCTTATATAATCTAGCTTCCACATCATTTAAATAGTCATGTGACTATTTAAATGACTCAAACAAAATGTTGATATCCCCCACATCATAAGACAAGATCTAACATAGCATAAAATAAAATAACAATAAACCTAAATATAAATAGAAGTTTAAAACTAAGCTACATCACACTCCCTCTCAAGATGGTGTAAAGATATCACACATGCCCAGCTTACCAATGATTGAATAGAACACTTCACAAGATATTCCGTTTGTCAAGATATAAACAAGCTAACAAAGACACATAAGCAAAGATATGATATGCATTGGTTGTATACAACAAGAAAACAAAAATAAAAAATAAAAAGGAAACATGGATTAATGAGTGTTGGGATTAGAAGTAATACAAGAACGATTATAACAAGTAAGAAACAAAAACAAGAAATAGAAATAGACATTTATAAAACACATTTTGCAATTAGTCATTTTGACATGTGATGAGACTAACAAGATGATAGTTTTTAAGTAAAAGCAAATTACCATATTTAAAGTTTTTACTGTTACTATTAAATAGGACAATAGTGACAGCTGAAAATTACCTGGAATATGACACCATTTTCAAACCATGAAAAACGAGAACTTAAGGACGCCTTTAACTTAAATTCAATGACCGCTACCTTAATATTCCTACTATTTTGCAAAGAAATTATAAAAAAACTTTGCCATAATTATGTTCACCCAAGAATATTAATAATTTCAATTACAGTTCAACCAACAACCATGACTAATATAGGCGAAACTATTCAATAACCTTTATGACCTTATTGTTTAGGTAATACACTAATCTTTGGCTCTATATACGTGTGTTTGTTTATAATGGTTCTAAAATATCTATTGAGCAAGAAATATAAAAAACAAGAGAAAAATATGTTTTGGTTTGTTGTTCTCAAAAACTCTTTCGTCCACATAGTTTTGTTATAAGAGAACGAAAAGGAGAAAGAGGAGGATGAGAAGGAGAAAGAGGAGGATGAAAAGGAGTGGAGAAGGAGAAAAAGGAAGAGGAGGAGAAGGAAAAGAAGCAGAAGAAAGCAAATTAGCAAGAGGAGGAGGTGCAGTGAAGAAGGAGAAGGAGAAGGAGAAGGAAAAAGAGGAGATGGAGATGGAGGAGAAGACAAAGGAGAATTAGAAGCAACGAAGAAAGAAGGAGGAGGAGTAGTAGGAGGAGAAGGAGAAAAAGAAGAATGAAGGGGGAGGTGGAGGAGAAAAAGGAGGAGGATAAGGAGAAGAAAAGTTAGGAAGAAGAAGAAGCAGCAGAATGAGGAGAAGGAGGCGTAGGAGAAGAAGGAAAAGTATGAGACGAATAAGAAGCAAAAGGAAAAGGAGGAGGAACAAAAGAAGCAAAACAAGAAGCAGCAAAATAAGAAAAAGCATGAGGAGGAGAAGTAGAAGAAAAAAAGATAACCTTTGGACATGCAACTGTTGTAGTTCTCAAACATTAAATAGAAACGAACACCTTTATACCTCTATTACAAGCTTTCACAAGGGACAGAGGGAGAGAGAATGAGGGATTCTAACGCTGGAATGAAAAAAACAACCTTTGGACATACAACCGTTATAGTTCTCAAATATTAAATTAAAAAAACACACTTGAACCTTATTACAAACTTTCAAAAGAGGGAGAGATAATGAGAGATTCCTATGCAGCTCAATGGGAGAAGCATTACATCTATATTACCCAAGAAAGGTAACCTCACCTACACATCCTGCCAAAGTAACAGGCACATTATCTTACCGATCAAAGCCTCTAGAATCTAAGATATTGAAAACATGGGATGTCTGCAAAAGCTAGCACGATCCATAGAGCAATGTTAGCCAGAATTTAAACGAATCAACAAAGTTGGGATATGATACTCTTCACTTTATAACGTAAATACCTAAATTATCCCTAATATTAATACTTTAACTATGAGCACATTCATTGTGACGTACTTTGTTTGTTAAACATTCCTCTACGAAAATGTGGCTACATTCATCGTGTATTTTAATGATATTGTATTTATTAGTCATGATGTAGAGGAGATGGTAAAATTAAAGTCATATTTGGCTCAAGAATTTGAGATAAAAGTTTGAAAAGTTTGAATTATTTCTGATGCATTGAGGTTACGATATCTAGATAGGGCATATTCATTTCATAGTGAAAGTATGTGTTTGATCTACTTAAGGAGACAAATATGCTAGGGTGCAAGAAACGGGTCGATACCAGAGGTGGGCAAACTCGTTTAGTGTGGTAAGTCAGTTTATGCACTCACCTCGTGAGTGTTAAATAAAGGCAATCCATCAAATTTTGAGGTACCTTAAACTAGCACCCAATAGAGGGCTACTTTTTTCTAAGCATGGTCATTTCTCATTTTTCTTCACTCACACTAATGTATTTTCCGCCTCTTCAATTAATACCAATTGTTTGGTGAATAATACCATGCTCAGCAAAATAGGACTGAAGTCTCCTATAAACATACTCACCCACATTATCGGAACAAACAATTTGTAACTAAGAATAAAATTGAGCAAGTACCATCTAATAGTCAGAGATCTCTTTCCAGATTTCATTTTGCGGCTCATATCTATCTTTCTATTCACTCACGCTAACGTATTCTCCACCTTATCTATCTCATTTTTTCTTCCACTTCTATATCCTCATTCATGCTTATATCCCTACTCCTCTCCATTTCTCTCTTATTCTTCCATCAGTGTCATCCACCAATGCCACAACGACACCATAATGCCACCCACCACCACCAACAATGTAACCATCTAGCAACGTTGTTCAGTCTCTCTTATATTCTTGTTCCACCGCCAGCCACCCACCAGTGTTTGCACTATTGTCAATTTCATAACTCCGTCCACCATCAATATTTACCACCAATCAGTAACTCCACTTAAGCCCCTTATCTTCACCTGAACCCATCTCAACTCCTAACCACAGTCACCTCTACGATTCTCCCTCACCACTACCTCTACTCAAACCACCGCAGAAAAACAACAACACCCACCACCTACAACTCCTTGAACGCTTGACAATCACAATTTAGTTTATGAATTAGACATGTGACCGTTTATATGACACTTTATCCCACGTTAATTTCAGTAATCGTTATTCCAATAATTTTAAATCTCAAACTCAATACTTGTTTAAATAGGAGAATTTTGTTGTCAAATATTATGAATTTTATTTAGAATTAATGTGGATTATTTAAATGTAATTTATTTGTGAATGAGTGATGTTGAATTTGAATTGTTGTGTATTTTGTTCAGTAAAGCACATTTTCAATCCCGTGTATTCAGCTATTGAAATAAATATTGAGTTTGACAGTTAAAATTATTAACATAAGAATTATTAAAATTAGAATGGGATAAAGTGTCATATAAACGGGCACATGTCTAGATCATAAATTAAATTGTGATTGTAAAGCGCTTAAAAAGTGTTAGGCAATGGGAGTAGTTATTTTTCTGTGGTGGTGTGAGCAGAGGCTAGGGTGAGCAAGAACCATAGAGGTTAAAGTGGTTAGGAGTCGAGGTGGATTTGAGTGAGGATAAGGGACTTGAGTAGGATTGTTGATTGGTGATAAATATTATTGGTGGATGAAGTTATGAAATTGATGATAATGACAGACGTTGGTAGTCCTAATAACATTGGTGGATGGTGGTGGTGAGCTAAACAAGAATAGAAGAGAGATTGAACAACATTATCGGAGGCACTGGATGGTTACATCACTGGCGTTTGTAGGTGGCATTATGATGTCGTTGTGGCATTGGTGGATACTAGAGACAGAAGAATAATAGAGAAATGAAAAGAAGTAGAGATATGAGCATGAGTGAGGATAGAGATGCAGAGAAAAAAAAAAGGAAGATAGATGAGGCAAAGAATACGTTACCGTGAGTGAAAAGAATGAGAGATATGGGCTGCAAAATAAAAAATTGGAAAGAGATCTCTAACTATTAGATGGTACTTACCCAATTTTAAACTCAATTACAAATTGTTCGTCCTGATAATGTGGGTATGTTTACTCAATTAGCTATCCTTGTAGATTGTTGTTCCTTTACGTAAACTACGTGGATCTCCCCATTAAGATGAGCCTTCGGGGACCAAATCATACTTCTTCCAACATCCTTCTATTTACATTAGCTCCAAGGACCTCCTAACTAAGCTAGGTGTTGGTCGTGCACGAGATAATTCCTAGGAACTAATATTAGTTTGGAGAATTGGGGTATGTTTGTCAAACAAATCAAAAAATATTCC